AAAATTATGTCCCATCGGATGAGACGGTACTCCAGGAAAAACAGATCCAGCATCGCGAGACTCGTTTCTTAGTCCATAGATTTGAAGCCAGTAACAATTCTCGTGGCGGCTGACTGGACGCGCTCAATGAGGGGGACGTCTTTCGTGCGTCCTTTGTACACAGCTTAGTTGGCTTGTTCCCTGAAGCGGTCTGGCGTGGGCCCCGTCGAGTATTTGGATATCCATGCGAGTAACACGGGAGAGGGTGCGTCGGATCATCCGTAAAACGGCGAATGCCTATGGGGCTGATTTCTCATGGTTCAGTGAAAAGGACAGGTTTGAGGAGACCTAAATGCCCCAACCCTTTTTGGCATCCATCCTCATGATGTTTCCTGGTCCTTTCTCATCATGCATAACAAAGGCATTCGCTGAGTCTCCTCCAAATTTCGTATAGACGCACTTTTCATCATTCAGAGGAAGGTGCCAGTCCCACGACCGCTGCCGTTGGGACACGTTTTCGTCGTCAAAAATTTGGTACCGGCAGCCACAATCATGTCAGCTTATTGGACAAACCGGTTGATATTATTGGCCTACTTGGGACCTAAGTGGGACAGTTGGCTGGCATACTCAAGATACAGGCTCCATAGGGTATCTGCAATTTCATAAGTGCGACATTAGAGAAGGTACGCCGAACCAACTGAAGAAGAATAAATGACCTTTGAGCCGGCTTTTTTTGGTGCAGCGGAAAACACACTGTACAAGAGAACCGGTTGCCCAAATGATTCATTGTACCTAGTCCCATAATGCCCTGAGTCCATACTTACCATAACCGACATAGGTGTTTACTGATCCCCATGAAACGTAGATTGTGTCTCGTCATTCAGAGGAAGATGACAGTCCACGACTCATTCTTCGCCTCGGAAGCACTTGCGCTGTATCTCTGAGATTTAAAATCACCAAAGGAAAGCGGGCATCAAAGTAGCAGGGCTTGTGGTTTGTATTTGGGACGGGCTAGAAAGAAAAGTGGTCCTGTTTGTCACCATCCCTTTAACGTTTATCTTCAGCCGCTTTACCAGAGTTTCGTTGCCATCTTGTCAACCTTTATCTTCAACCGCTTTTACCATTCANCCCCACGAAACGTAGATATTGTCTCGTCATTCAGAGGAAGATGACAGTCCACGACTCATTCTTCGCCTCGGAAGCACTTGCGCTGTACCTCTGAGATTTAAAATCACCAAAGGAAAGCGGGCATCAAAGTAGCAGGGCTTGTGGTTTGTATTTGGGACGGGCTAGAAAGAAAAGTGGTCCTGTTTGTCACCATCCCTTTAACGTTTATCTTCAGCCGATTTACCAGAGTTTCGTTGCCATCTTGTCAACCTTTATCTTCAACCGCTTTTACCATTCAATTACTGCCTAATCAATGCTTACCTTCATCCACACGCATAATCTGTTTACCGCATGCACACCCACCGTTTCACTCCTGCTCGGATTACGTCATGAACGTTTCGCACCACAACCAACCGAAATTACCGGAAGCGCATCCTCACTCACAGCGCAAACGTATACATATGCGGAACAACGACAGCAGGATGCTGACGTTCGTCCCTTCACACAGTGCCTTGACCAGGATTAGTTCAAACCTGCGCGCGACTAACTGTGCAGGAAAAGTCTGGGTTTTATATCGTTTTGGATTAAACGATAAGAAACAGGCCAGATTTCAACACACTCCATCAAAACCCGCATTCAATTCAACTGCGTCCTACAAACCTCGGTTGCGTCTACTACAAATTATCAAACGAGGAACTCGACAAGCCTCTTATTCCTTTAGTGTATTGTTCACTTGTACTAGTATCTCCGGTAAACTGGTAAACACTATACATAACTGTTGATTGTTAGTGTTGTTCACCTTCTGATATTACTTCGAGTAAAAAACAACAGCACTAACAGTTCAAAGACGGATCTCTGATGAGGTTTAGGCAAATTTGACCCGGAAAGCTTAAAACCACCGTAGATTTCCCCTTTTTAGTTTTCCAGGCCTGTTGAGCAGCTACACATATGGAACTCTGCCAAACGCTTTTGAAAACTCAAAAAACTTGGCGCTGCTTGTGAGTCGTAATTCTCCGACTAGTGCTGAGATAGCCCTAAATGTAACCATGTTCCCCACGCAGCAATTGCTGTAAGGGGTATACCAACTTGTCGGTACTGAGGTGTTTGTTGATTTTTTATTCTTTTCTTATCGTGTGTAACGTTATCCCCTCAGTTTTGCGCCTTTGCCACGTTCCTGGTTTTTGGTCTCGACGAAAGCTGATCTTCGATTTCATCATCGCATATGACGTTTAAATTAATACATGGGTTTGTGTATCTTGTGTCTATCTTGAGTCGGTGTATAACTTAGGGTCCCGGTGGGAGTTAGCAGTTCGCAAACCGGCGTAGATTGGCAAGTGTTGAGGTTTGTACAACTTAATATTGCGTTGCTGTATCGATAGCATAGCATTTTTGATAAGCATCCATTTGAACTATGTAACTCATATGGCTTTGTGCGTAACTCATGGAGGCTCCAATGACTGCTTGAAACAATCTATATTACCCAACTCACAGCTGTATGATGGGTCTTGGAGGCCAATCTGAAACGTAAGTTTGGGACTGTTGGGACCTGACCAGAATATGAATTGGCTAGTCATTTCATAGTGTACCGAACCATGAACTTGACAACTCAGTGTACGGTGCTCTTACTAAATCCGTTGATTGTAACACTCCTGATTCACAACTTCATTTATCTCAACTTTCTCCCTGTGGGCTAAGCATGGCTGGTAATGTATTCGTACGGGGGGGGATCCTGGCGAATTTAGGTCAGAATATGTTATCCTGGAGGGCGATATCGCTTTAGGAACGGAGGAGTTAGAAATAAAGTACTTTAGTTTAGCGTCTCGTTTGTAAATGCTGTTGAATAAGAGGTTCACTGCGGACGAAATGTCGGCGGCAGGGAACTGTGAATATGGGTTTTAATCTGGTCGACATAGTGACCAACTTTGTGTTGATATAGGCTGACTTAGTAAAGTGGCAGTGCAGCGACCACTGTCTGCAGCGTCCACATCCGCATGGAGGGCAATGGCATCCGAACTTCGGATTATCAGATCGTCCTTATAAAGTAGACATGACTTGGAAAAACAAATAAAAGATCACTGGCGTAGAAAAAACGGAAGCGGTCATTAAACGCAGTTCCGCGTGGAAACTGTTGGGTGCGGAGAGATGTTGAATCACATCATTGGACGGCGCCGATTAGATGGAACTCCATCAAACAGGCCGTTGGGGCGCCATAATCATCTACCAGTAAGAGATATTTGAAGTGGTAGTGGAGGAGTGATGCTAAAGTGTTTTATCAGAAATGGATCATTTTCAGAGGTTCGGAGGGCAGCGAGAAACCTAGCCGAGAATAAGAGATTCGGTCTCGCACATCAGGCGTGCGACCCACAGTGAATCGCAGGGGTGCAGGAGTGGTATCAGAGAGAACAAACGGGTAGCGCCGCATGTAAATATCAGGCAATCCCCTTAATTCTCCATCAGCTCGAAAAGTAGAGCAGCCGTCTATTTTGATCTCCGCTTCAGAGACATCCGGCGTGAGCCAGATTTCTGTAAGTGCGATCGTGGACGGCTGCTTTAGGCCAGTTGACGCGAAGTTTGTTGAAAAGGCTGAGGTAGCTTCAGACAAGCACTTCAGTGCTACCTCCGCTGTGTCCGAATGTGTTGAGCTGAGGGGTTAACGACTGTAAGCCGGATGGAGTTAAAGGCTACAGGGGGGGAGTATAAGGCGTTATTGCCCGTTTCCTGCCTCTGGAACTGCATAAGAGGGGGGGGTTTCGCCCCTTGAGACTATGGTTTGCGCGAGCATTTTACTTTCAGGGCACGTAACTTTTTACCTTGTGGTTGAAAATTTCGATGACTGTTACTTGTGGCTCATATTCGACAACACTCGTTGGCTTGTATCAGCCTTTGACTATATCATGCGCGTTTGCCCAAAAAGTAGACTGGGTAGCAAAAAGGTGCTACGAATGAAGAAAGACACTAATTACGGAAAAAAGAGAAGCACCGAAGTTTTTCCTATTCCCATGTGCACCATTTTCTTTCATCTTCACGTCCCACATAAGAGGAACACCAACTTCCGTGGGACTTAATGTTCTCTGTCCCAAATGAGCTAGCAATAGTTACACCAGCTCCACTCATTTGCGGTTACTGTTGACCAAGCATGGATCATCAGCAGGGTACTACCGTATTGGATCCACAATCGACTAGTCAGGTGAAGACACGGAAGTTTGGGAAAAAGCCATGTTCCTGAGTATCAATCCATGGACCCAACGCCTGTGACCTTGAGTTTGTGGACAATTGCCGTGGTGACCAACAGGCGGACTATTAACGACCGATGGAAACAGGCTTTGTGTGCCGTAAATCCGAACCTGAGTCTGCATGTGGTTGTACAATCCCGGAACAAGCTGAATCACAAGAAGCATGACGTAACTTTTCACCTTGTGGTCGAAAATTTTGGTGACTGTTACTTGTGGCTCATATTCGACAACACTCGTTGGCTTGTATCAGCCTTTGACTGTATCATGCGCGTTTGCCCAAAAAGTAGATTGGGTAGCAAAAAGGTGCTACGAATGAAGAAAGACACTAATTACGGAAAAAAGAGAAGCACCGAAGTTTTTCCTATTCCCATGTGCACCATTTTCTTTCATCTTCACGTCCCACATAAGAGGAACACCAACTTCCGTGGGACTTAATTTTCTCTGTCCCAAATGAGCTAGCAATAGTTACACCAGCTCCACTCATTTGCGGTTACTGTTGACCAAGCATGGATCATCAGCAGGGTACTACCGTATTGGATCCACAATCGACTAGTCAGGTGAAGAAACGGAAGCTTGGGAAAAAAGCCCTGTTCCTGAGTATCAATCCATGGGTCCAACGCCTGTGACCTTGAGTTTGTGGACAATTGCCGTGGTGACCAACAGGCGGACTATTAACGACCGATGGAAATAGGCTTTGTGTGCCGTAAATCCGAACCTGAGTCTGCATGTGGTTGTACAATCCCGGAACAAGCTGAATCACAAGAAGCATGCCCTGAAGATCGAGAGATATTAAGAACACGACCTGAGGGTGTCCCGGTAGGGGCGAAAACCTCGGACTACTATAAAGTGGCTGAAGATCTTCCTAAAAAATTCAACGAACCAGGTGTGTAAAATATAAGTACTGACAGCAAACAGACTTAATGCAGGGCTATGGCGACAAGCTGATTAATCCAATGTATCGCACTTCAAATTCTGAATATGGTCGGCTGAAACCTAACGTACACACGATGAGTGTTGTATACCATCAAAGAAAGGCTGAATTCCAGAAAGTAAGTTTAATTGGTACCTTCAGTTCTCCTCAGCGATTTGCGCCCTGTGGAAACTACCGAAACCATTCACTGAACACGGCAAAGGATCAACAGATAATTTGATTAGGGTGAAATACTTTCGATTCCATGCATATGCACATACGTATCTACGCGAAACTAAATAGTGGTGTGTCACCATGCAATAAACAGAACCTTGTGCTGAAGCGCTCGACCACGTATTCTCAAATGATTCGTCGAAGGGGGATCGTGTCGTATTTAGTCAAGCTACCCAACAGGTACTGAACAAAAGAAAGAAAGAAGTAGGTGTTGCTGACATGGGAAAATTATATCGAATGACTGCACAAATAGATGGAGACACGCTGAGCTCTCTGAGTGGTCGGATATATTTTTCGGTTTGAATAGAATCCCGTGAGCAGTCATCATCATCATCATCATCGTCAGCTGTAAGGACCGCGTACTTGTTGCAAGTGGTTGTAGCTGCCACACTTCCATCCATCGATGATTTGGGGATATAGGGTAGGCAGCCGGGCATTGGAGGCCGAACTTGACAAATTAGTGCTTAGCTAGAACACTGCCAGTGGACTGTTAAATTGAGGTAATTGGGAAGGGGGCTATGCACTGAAGGCAAGAGCTTGGATGCACGAGCGCCATTGAGGGCGATCGGGCCATGTCTGACAACATCACCAACCATTTATGTAACCCGTTTCGGAGTTTCGCTAATAATGGCTTTCATACTTCGCTGCCAAGTCATTTACAGTTGTCATCAGGTCGTGAAAATATTCCGATCCATCGAGGCTGTCAGATTGTTCGACATATTTTTGTCTGCCGCGCATTGACTTCAGTGAGAAAACAGCATTCCGATGAAAAGTAGTATCATAAAGGCGAAGGAAATTCAGCTATCTTCAACAAACACGAGGGCAGAAGCATTGCGGATTTTTTTAAAGACACAGGACAAAAGATGATCACGGTCTTTCAGTCCAGGAACAACTTGATTCAAAACAGGGATGTACAAAGAAGATGGAGTTATTGGCACTGGCCTAACAATAAATTTCATAGGCACATTCATCTCCGGCCAGACCACTAGGCAACTCAGACACCAACTGAGAGATAGGCTGCCGATGAGATCAGTAGAGTACAATATCCCACAACCTTCGACGCAGAACGCAAATTGATATGGAATGTTTCCGAGGACCAGATTTTCAACTGGAGTCACAGGAAAGACAAATCGGCACGAAGCAAGCAAGCATGCATAAGAACCGTATTATGTCAATGTCGTCATCAAAAGCAGCACCAGATGAGGACATTGGTGCGTCGCCGCTACACAACCAAGTCAGTAGATTTGAACGGAAAGAAGGAAATAGACAGAAATGATTGAGGCATGAAGGTTGACCTTGGACTAGCCTAAGACAAACACCCGAGGTGCCAACACCGACGACACTGAATCAGACAACCTAGATAGAAACTGACAGCATGAATGCCACTGAAATTGGTCAGGTGCCGAGAGGGTCAAGTGGACCCCATCCTGAAAAGAAATTGGTCGGTGCCGAGAGGGTCAAGTGGACCCCATCCTGAAAAGCAAACAGCATCAAAAGCGCCTAAACGTCTCGCAAGTTCTCTCATTCCCTTATGCCATATCAAATTTTGACAACTCGGGGTGCCTTCCCTTCCAAATTTGGTGAGAAATACAGCACTTCTCTCGGCATGCGTAAGACAGCCAATGAATCTCAAATTACAAAAATGAATGCATTCTTTGAGTAAAGTGCCTTTTACTTTACTGACAGTTGACTTCCTGATAATTTCATTCCAAACTAGCTTGTTTCAGTCGATTCCAGATGTAGTCCTGGGATGTCGATAGACAGAGACACGAAGATATCTCTGGCTTAACAAGTAAGCGTAGAGTTCGGTAACCTCCACTATCACTCAGTGAATACGTATGGACACATCCAAACAACATACGTCTCGAAGCATGACTTTGCACTTTGTCGGGGCAAAACATACATCAAAGAATTGGGTCACCTTGGTCGGCTTTTCTATTATCGGTCGTTCTCGCTGTCTTTTTTTCCAGAAACGAGAACACTGTCATCCAAATATTCAAGGTCGACGGCGATCAGGGAGGAATTGACAGTAGCCTGTTTTCGCTTATCCCACCTGCAGTGTGCTGAGAGGACAGGGACTCGGCTGGTAATCATTTGTAATTGTGCAATTCACGGTTGTAGGTGGGCTAGGATACTGTCGTGGCGCCCACACCTAGACAGTAGGATAGTTTAAGTTCTCAACTAAAGTTGTGTCTCAAAAGTCTAACATAAAGACAGGGAATAGTTGGTATAAGTTCGTCATAGCAGCCTACATGTTTAAGAAGGAAGTCACCACACAAGATCCACCCCCCAAACTGAAGGACCAGAGAACTTCCAGTCGGACGCCTGCCCATTGGCCAACAACGTATGGTAGGCTCTGTCACCAGCGCATATATACCCCAATATAGCTCAATTGATTATGGAAGTGCACAAATCGTGATACCGCTCTACGGTTCAGTCTCTTCATAACGGAAACTCATTATGGGGGAAAAATGTTCCAATTCGTGGTGATATGATCTCATCAATTGGCGTACGGACAAAACAAGCGACTTTCTTGGTTTGGATGAGCAACACCTATCCAGGCAACGTAATCCAGTAAGATGACTGCCATTCAACCACTGGATTGCATTCATCCCAAGTAAAAAATGTGTGAGCGTACTATTGAACAATCCCCTGAAATATAACTCTGTTTTGTTCGCCCACAAGTAGAGTGTGTTTCGAGAGCTCAACCGCCTAATGAGGCTAAGGAGTGCAAGGAGTTCCCCCTCCACATATGAATTATTGGTATAAGTTTCCTGACGAAACTCCCAATCATTTTACAGTTGTAGTAAAATGCTAGTGGTGAAACGCAACAGAATGGCAAATTAATACCCATTTGCGAGACTTGTGGGCGTATCTGAACTAAATCCGTTGTCTGTAATATTTCACAAATGCTCCATAAAGCCCGCTTCATTTTATAAATTAAACGACATCAGAGGTACCGAACAATACTCATATGGTTGACGCTGATTCCAGGAGAACCGTTTCATGTCTATCGAAAGTGAAACGTTGAGGTTCAGTCCAAGTAGCCAATCAGCACTTTGTAAGAACGCGGTGGCTGCAGATAATTAAACTTGGGCCGAACTGACGACCACCAAAAGAAAATCAGTAACCTGGAAGTCCACGAAGAGGATATGAAAGCAATAAAAGTGCTATAGCTTCTGAAACACGGTTGCACGGCAACGAAGGATGGGAACGCGGGTGTAAATATGTTATGGGCCGGTTTCAAACGCTTCAAAGTTGCTAGAAAATGGACTTCGAGACATGACTAATAAGCTCGGAAATTTCTAGTTGATCACCTCTCGCCAGTCTAAGTTTCCCTGGCTATCAAATTGTTTCCGGCAGACTTAGTGGACAAATTGTTAGTCCGAGTTGAAAAAAGGTTCATCAACACTTAAACTTCACTTCAGCCATTCGCCATTCTGGTAATTAGGTCTGGTTGTGTTGAAATTTCAATGGTCGTGAAGACATCCAAATCAGTGTCACCATGAAATCGGACTGTGTGCATGAATCGGAAACATAGGGGGCTTTAATACTTCCAGTTTGGTAGCCCTAGACAACCATAACATGTCAGACCGCAATCAAGCTGGCTTTAAAGACTAAGATGTCCCACTCTTGCCAGAAAAAGCAGAGCAGTTATGTTCAATTTAGTACATTGCGGTCTCTGGTTCCTACTCCCTTAGATACTCCAATCAGAATCGGTGAATTATTACGTCAGATTTCACGTCAGTGTGGGTGTCACGCAACAACTGGGAGAACAGTATTGGGCAACTACATAAAAATATACATGAAAATAAAGCAGGACAATGGCTAAAACATTTACATGTCCAACACATACATCGAGCACGAAAATTGCCGTTCTCTACCAGTCAAAAAGAAACAGGAGTTTGAAAAAACAGTGGTTATACAACTTCATCGGAGCCATTTTTCGGAGACCTCCGAAGGTGAAAACTTAACATGGATGACTCTCTGTAAAGGAAACTACTTACAAGGTTGCTGAAAACCCTTCGACAGCCCAC